TTTTGAAACAAAAATTAATATAAGAGCCGGTCTTATTTTCGGGAAAACATGGGTATAGTGGTTAACACGATGGACTTGTTTTGGGTTTGAATAAAGAAAAATCTATTACAAATCACCGGACTGGATTTCAGGAAGACTATTGATGTGAATCTTTCAATGCACTACAATGCACAAAGATTGTTGGGAGTGAAATTGTAAATTTGAGAAATAACGTTACTTGACCCTTAAGTAATACAGGTACAATGAATTATGTGTCTCCGAGTTGGCTAGCTGTAAGGATTCCGGCAGTTACCCCCATTTAAATCATGAGCGTCGAGTCAAACTTCCAAAACTTCAAAAGGATTTATTGGAAGTTAAAATGTCCATTTATTGTCACCCTTGACCCTGGTTTTCCCCCACCCCTTGGGTGTATCACAATTCATATTCTCCAATGAGACACATCCATAGCCAAGAGTCATCAATCATGCTCTCCAGTTAGAATTTTGCGCGGCAGAAACTCCAGTCACCTGGTTACTTATCTTTGAAAACTATTTATGGAATGCAGTTTTGGTTTCCAAACTGCTGCACTGCTCCCCCTCCCTTTCTGTTGGCAACTCTGAGAAGACCATAATAAATATTTTATGAGTTGACATTTACCTCCACTTACAGACACAATTGACCCCAACATTTTCGTTGTGAAGTGAGACCTTTGTTCAGTTAATTTTGCCCCATTTTATGACCTTTCTTGCCACCGTTGTTAAGTGAATCACTGCCGTTGTGTAAGTTAGCAATCTGTTGGTTAAGGGAATCTGGTTCCTCATTGTGTCAGAAGGCCCTGAAAGGGGATCACATGGCCCCAGCACACTGCAACTGTCATAAGTACGAGTCTGTTGCCAAGTGTCTGAATTTTGATCATGGGGGATGCTGCAACGGTTGTGAGTGTGAAACATGGTCATAAGTCCCTCTTTTCTGTGCCGTTGTAACTTCGAATGGTCCCCAAACAATTGTTTGTAAGCCATGGGCTAACTGTCTGTGGCCGTGATGGTGAACCTATGGCACGCGTGCCACAGATGGCACGCAGAGCTATTTGTGCTGGCACGCGAGCTGCAGGCAAACTTACCTCACTATGCATGCACGCACCTCACAGCTGATTTTCAGCGGGTTTGAGGCCTTTTTCGGCTTCCTGGAGGCTTGAAAAAAGCCTCTGAAGGCCAAATAGTCCCGTTTTGTCACTTCCTGTAATACCGGAAGTGACGAAATGGGCCTATTATTCGTCCTGCAAAGCCTGCAGAGGCTTTTTTTTCAAGCCTCTGGGAGACCAAAAAAGGCCTAAAACTGGCTGAAAATCAGCTGTGAGGTGCAGTGCAGGTAAGTGGGCGGCGGGGGAGGGATTGTGCGTGCATGCGTAGGGGACGTGGGGGTGTGCATTGCCTTCTGGGTGCTGGCATGTGAGCGCTTGCACGCCTGCGCACACACACTTTTTGGCACAGGAGCCCAAAAAGGTTAGCCACCACTGGTCTATGGAGTGCAGTTCTTATAAAATATTGAGTAAATTGAGTATTTTGAATGACCTTGTTTACAATTTCTTTCAGAAGAAGGCAGTGAGAACATCTTACATCAAAAGTATATTTGAAAACACAAAAAGGTAAGTCCATCCTGTTCCTTCATGAAAGGGAAGATATTTGCCATTACAAAATCTAGAAGCCCTTAAATTGATGTTGTCCACAGTTCCCAAAACTCCATTATGAAATGACATCCCCAAATATTCCACAATATTCTCTGGAAGGGACTCAGAAAATCTCATTCCTCAGTATCTTAAAAAGTCCATCAAATGATACAGCAGAAAGAGGGCAATCCGAAGGGAATAATCAGGAGGTATAAAAATATATTTAAAAAAGTTATGAGATTCCAAGAGAGAGAAAGAAAAGGTTGTTTAAAAAGTTAACAAATGAATGGTACTCCAAAAAGGTTAAGAGATAATGGATAGGGACAGAAATCTCTCTCTATAAAAGCGAAATATCACTCAAGCATCATCACAAAATCTTTACAACTGTAAAGCCTTCTTCCTGATCCTATTTTCATTTGGATTGGGTTCCATTATCCAAACCAATAAGTACAGGTAGTCCTCGACTTACGACCACAATTCAGCCCAAAATTTCATGTTGTTAGGTGAGCCATTTGTAAGTTAATAATTTTGCCTCATTTTATGACCTTTCTTGTCACATTTGTTCAGCGAATCACTTCAGTTGTTAAGTTAGTAATCCGGTCGTTAAGTGAACCTGGCTTCCCCATTGATTTGGCTTGTCAGATGGTCATAAAAGGGGACCCCACATGACCCCCAGGACACTGCCACCATCATAAATGTGAGTCAGTTGCCAAGGGTCTGAATTTTGATCACGTGGCCACAGGGGAGGTTGCAACGGTCTTAAGTGTGAAACAAAGTCAACGGTCATTTTTTTCAGTGCCGTGGGAACTTTGAATGGTCACGAAAAGAACTGTTGTAAGTCGAGGACTACCTGTTATAGTTCTTGGGTGTGTTGGCTTTTTAAAGTCACCCTCCACTGAAGCTGTTTAAAAAACATGGATTTTTTCCTTCTTAGGGTGCTTTCCAGTCTGCAAAGGTGGGAAACAGGTAAGATGAGTGTTCTGGCCCAGGCTTTGTCAAACGTAATTAAACACAAACTGGTATTAAAAGCAAAACCCTTTTCTAATGCAACGCTGGGAATTATTTTCATTCTCAGCCAAAACTATCTTAAACAGATAAGCACCCGCCCGTCAGGGCTGTGGAATGCTGCCAAAAACAGAAGTCTCCAAAGTAATTACAAACAGTACCAGAAAAAAACCGACCCAGAATACGCAGAGCTTCAAGAAGGCCTCGGAATCTATCGAATTGCTTTGCTTCCTGCAAAAGTTTCGTCATTGAGGTCTGACTTTTATCCCTTATGGGAGGGGCAATCACCTGCAGCCTTACTCCCGAGTCACCCCTTCTGCTTCAGCTGCCCTCATCTTCTAGCAGCTCTGCGCACACGCGCACTGGGAACAGGCTCCCCTGGGTCTTCTGCCTCGCTACTGCCAGACCCCGAGGGCTCCAAAGGCAGCACCCCACTCCCAGATAGTCTTGGCTCCATCTCTGCATTGGATGTAGGACCCTCGTCCGAGTCCTCTCCAGACTCCCGGACTGGTCCCCGTTCTGCCCCACTGTCCGAAACCTCTGCCATCTGCACCGGTTGCTGGAGAACCACAACAATGAGTGTCTTTGGATCTCAAAAGGCTGTTTATTAGCATCATCTCTCATTCTCCTTTTCTCCTGAAATTTGTAAGGTATTGCCCTGTCCTATGCTTCCCAAGATCATGAAGCTGACTCTTCGTCCTGATAAAACCCCTTTTATTTAGGTTAAAGGGAATTCCTCTCCAGCAAAGTCCCGCCCAGCAGTCTTTCAAGAGATTTCACAACTACAGACCTTTATCAGGCTGGGAGAGCTGCCAGGCCGATATCTTCCAAACGCCATGCTGTAGCAGCAATTACTCGGCAAGAAGTCAGGAACAGATCTTCACCCTAATGAATTGAACTAATTGTCTCCTGCCAACGCCACTCCCCTTCTGTTCCTCTTTATTCCCTATGGGAGAGGCCATTCACCGTCCACCTGAGCCTTTACTGCCAAGTCAACCCTTGTTCCTTAACTGTTCCTTTCTCCTGGCAGGTCTGCGCATGTGGACTGTCATGCCCCTATTGGAATCTGATTCCAGGGGGGAGGTCAAACAGCTGACAGGGAGTGGGAGTGTGGCTCCGGTGGCTGTGGAAGAAACTGGGGAAGGCACAGTCCATCTGGGCATTCAGAGGAAGTCCCAGGCCCACCCCTCTTCATCCTAGGGTATGCAGGGAGGAACGGAGAAGGGAGCAATGTGGATTACGGGGGAGAAAAGGGCCCTGATTCCCTTCATTAGTTGCAGCTGGGAAAACAGGATTTAAAAAGGACGTTTGCGCACAGCACCTTGCTGGAAGCAAAGCGTGAATTATATTTGTTTGTCAAGTCTTATCTGGGTTCTGGCATCCTCCCAACTGTGCATGGTTCGTTATCTTTTGAAGTCTGCAATTCCTTAACCTGCCTTGTCTCGTTAATTGCTTCAGCGTTTGTGTTGATTTTTATTTATAATTTATATGTGCTTTGGATTCAGACTGAATTTCTTCCCTTTAAAGTCTGTTCTTGGGAGAGTTTTCTTTTTTCCAGCCAAAGATAACTGGACATTGGGGGCCAAGTTGGAGGAATTAAAGGGGCTTTACCTGTTTTTGTGACTTTGTTGCTTTTGTGCCGGGTCATCACACGCACACCAGGAACAGGCTCCAGCTGTTCTTCTGCCCCACTGATCTCCGACTCCGAAGCCAGCTGATAACTGTCGGATGTCCCTGGCCCCATCTCTGCCTCTGATGCAGAGCCCTCGTCACAGCGCCCCCTCGAGACTCCAGGACTGGCCCATGTTCCTCCCCAACCTCCTCACTCTCCGAGTCTGCCGCCAGCTCCACTGGCAGGCCACAACAGGTATATGGTTGTAGATATCTTCCCTCAGCATCACAGGTTGAAGGAATCATTTCCTTCTCTTCACAAGCAGACTTTGTAGAGGAAGCGGGATTTGAGGATTGAATGGGTGAGATTTGGGCCACATTATTTTGGGCAAGAGGAAGATACATCCTTGACTTTATCTAGTCCAAAAAGAATGCGCTGGGGAGGGTCATCTAGTCCTTGGACTGATTGGATTCCTCCTCTCTGTTGGGTTTTCCTACCTTGACCTTAATGTGAACTCTACAGGACTTGTGAACTTAAGCAAACCTGCTGATGAGTGTCGTTGAGACAAGTCTCAACTCAAGATAAGTGTAAGACTTCAACGTAGAAAAAAATAAAGTCTTACACTCAGGCAAGAAAAAACCAAAAGTATACATAGACTGGGTGAAACCAGGCTCAATAGCAGAAACTGTGAGAGGGATCTTGGAGTCATAGTGGACAATCACAGTGTGAGGTGGCAGTCGAAAAAAGCCAATGCAATCCTAAGTTGCATTAACAGACGGATACAATCAAGATCAAGTGAGGTACAAACACCACTCTATGAAGCCTTAGTAAGACCACACCTAGAGTGTTTCATCCAGTTTTGGTCACCTCACTATAAAAGAAGATGTTGAGACTCTAGATGATCTATAAGTTCCCTTCCAACTCTTGTTATTCTAAGTCCATAAACTAACCCGTCTAGGTTCACCTGTAAATTTGACGAGGTGAAACACGGGTTGAGGTAGTCATTATGTTTAAGGAAGTGAAGTCTTCTGCTCACTTCAGATAAGAGTAGAGGTTCTTCTAGAACAGCATCCCCTTGTTTTCTTCCTCAGAAGGTTGGTACCATATGTAACTTATAAATGCCAACTTCCATTAAAAAAGGGGAAAGGACGTTGTCGTTCCACAAATGCTGTGACTTTGTTGTTTCTTGACTTGGGGTGAGGAAAAAAACAGTTTCTTGGATATGGTTGCTTTTTTCTCAGATTTTGTAAGACAGCAGCTGAACGTATCTTGACTAACCATATTGTTTTGCATATGCTTGTATAGGCACTGCTTCCTGTGGTTGCTGGTGTCTTTTATAGATAAAATATGGTTTACTTATGGTCTTGTAGATTGGAAATGGCTGTGGCACATGTTGAGAACATCAAGATGCTGGTTTTCAGGAAGTTATATGTTTATACATATTGCCTTATATGTTTATACATACGAGCATAGCACATGAACACAATCTTAGTTTCTTTTAAGTGCTGTTATAATTCTTATCATTTCTACCACTTTGAGAAGTGGAAACAGATGAAAACTATAACTATGATATAATGTTTGCCTATAACACCAAAGTCAGGCACATTGTGTTATATTAACATAATGAAAAAAGGCAAAGACATGTTTATAAATATGTGTCTATGTGTCTGCACATCTATGTGTATGTGTAATAGTTTTTAAAGGATAGCAATAGCACAGATTTATATACCACTTCACAGTGCTTTACAGCCCTTTCTAAGCAGTTTACAGAGTCAACCTCTTGCCCCCAACAATCTGGGTCCTCATTTTGCCCACCTCGGAAGGATGGAAGGCTGAGTCAACCTTGAGCCAGTCAGGATCGAACTCCAGGCAATGGGCAGAATCAGCCTGCAATACTGCTGTGATGACCCAGGGTGTGGCACAAAGGCAGCACAGTCAAATAAGCCAGAAGAGTCCCTTTAATACCTCCAACTTTACCCCAAGGTCCAGGTTACCTTCGGCTGCAGAAAAAACTTTCCCAAGAACAGTCTTTTAAGTGGAGGAAATTCAGTCCGAAAACAAAGTACATACAAACTGTAAATAAAAATCCACACAAACCACGCTGCAGCAATTAACTTGTCAGGGCAGGATAAGGAATTGCAGACTTGAAAGGCCAACAAAACACACACAGTTGGGAAGACGCCAGGAATCCAGATAGGCCTCGACAATAAAAGATAACTCACGATTTGCTTCCAACAACTTTGCTGTGTGTACTTTCCCTTTTTAAATACTGTGTTCCCAGCTGCAGCTAATGAAGGGAATCAGGGCCCTTTCCTCCCCCATACGTCACGCAACTCACGTTGTTTCCTTCTCCGTTCCTCCCTGGTTGCCCTAGGATGAAGATGGGGTGGGCCTGGGTCTTCCTCTGAATTCCCTCTCCCTTGTTCTACCTCTTTCCTGCTCTGCCCAGCTGGACTTTGCCCTTCCCCAGTTTCTTCCACAGCCAATGGAGCCACACTCCCCTCCCTGTCAGCTGCTCGGCCTCCCCTTCAGAATCAGATTCCGGCAGGGGCATGACAACTGCATTCTGACCACTACACCACCAGGAAGTAGAATGAGAAAAGGAATAAGAGACGAAGGAAGGAAGGAAGGAAGGAAGGTGGGAAGGGAAGGGAGGAAGGAAGAAAGGAAGGAAGGAAGGAAGGGAAGGGAAGGAAGGAAGGGAAGGGAAGGGAAGGGAAGGGAAGGGAAGGGAAGGGAAGGGAAGGGAGGAAGGAAGGAAGGAAGGAAGGAATAACAATAGCACCGAGTCTTATATAGCATTTCACATTGCTTCACAGCCCTCTCTAAGCAGTTTACAGAGTCAGCCTCTTGCCCCCAACAATCTGGGTCCTCATTTTACCAACCTTAGAAGGATGGAAGGATGAGTCAACCTTGAACCAATGAGAAATGAACCGCTGGCAGTCAGCAGAATTAGCCTGCAATACTGCATTCCAACCCCTGGGCCACCAGGATGTTGTGCTTATTGTGCTTCAATCCATTATTTGGTGGAAATATTTAAAACAAGTTACAGGTAGACTTGGGTTATGATGGCTATTCGGAACGGAACTGCCATCGCTAAATGACACAGTTGTAAAATACAATATCATGGGACTGTGTTGCTTAGCGACCACAATCCCAGTTGACATCATTAAGCAAGGGTTGTGTGGGCTGTTAAGCAAGGACATTACATGACCCTGACTTTCTAATTCCTGCCAGCTTCCACATTGACTTTACCTGCAGAAAGTTGGCAGGGATCAGTGGAAATTGTGACCGTGTGACCACAGCTTGTGGCAACGACATAACCATGATCCGGCCTCCTGAATTCGCGATTCTGTCACCGAAGGGAAGCCGCCATGGTCAGAACTTGGAGGGCCTGTCTTAACGCCCCGGTGATTGCTGTTGCAAGTTTGGAGGGTCGCTGACGGTCGTAACCTGGGGACGACGTCTATGCATTGTACATTTTCTTCTGCATCTCCCATTAAAAGGAATGTAAACAGAAACCTGCTGTGAAATCTCTAATCTCTGTTGTTGCCTTTGCTGGTAATCAGAACATGTCAAAATGTTTGGAATGGCACTGAGAACAAACGGAGAACTGGCTTCTGTTGACAAAACAATATTGAAATGTAGCATTTGTTCTCTAAGCTAATTCTCTCTCTCTCTCCCCCCTCCGCCTCTCTCGCCCTCTTCCCTTTCTTCCCTCTCCCTCTCTCCTTCTTTTTCTCCTTCCTTCCCTCCTTCTGTGCCCCTTCCCCTTCCCTCTCTCTCCCCCTCCCTCTCTCTCCTTGTCTCCCCCCCTCTCTCTTTCTCTCCCTCCCTCCTTCTGCCCCACTTTTCCTCCCCCTTTCCTCCCTCTCTCCTCCCTCTCCCCTTCCTTCCCTTTCTCCCCCTCCCTCTCTCTCCCCTCTCTCCGTCTTTCCCTCCCTCCCTCCTTCCATCCCACTTTTTGTCCTTTTCGCTCCCTCTCTCCCTCTCCCCTTTTCCCCTCTCCCCCTCTCTCCCCTCCCCTCTTCCTCTTTCTCTCTCTCCTTCCCTCTGCTTTCCCCTCCCCCTCCCCTTCCCCATCCCTCCCCTTCCCACCCTCCCCCTCCCCTTCTCCCTCTCTCTCCCTCTTTCCCCCTTTCCTTCTCTCACTTTGTCTCCCCCTCATTCCCTCTTCTCCTTCTCTCTCCCTCCTTCCCTCCTTCCCTCCCTCTCTTTCAATTTCAGAAGACAGAACAGCTCCTCTTTTTCAAGATGAAGATTACCAGCAAAGATTGCTAACAGGATTGGTAGGTGCCGTCTTGATTTGACAACAGAAAATCCTTAATGCTGTCAGGATAACCAGAAAACATAGGTATTATTCTTTAATAGAGCAACCAAGAGGATTAGGGGACTGGAGGCTAGAATTTATGAAGAACGGTTGCAGAAATTGGGTATATCTAGTTTAATGAAAAGAAGGACTATATGATAGCAGTGTTCCAGTATTTGAGGGACTGCCCCAAAGAAGAGGGAGTCAAGCTATTCTCCAAAGCACCTGAAGGCAGGGCAAAAAACAATAGATGGAAACTAATCAAGGAGAGAAGCAACCTGGAACTAAGGAGGAATTTCCTAACAGTTGGTTCAATTAGATAGAAGACAGATAGAATTCTTATATTGGCCAAGTGTGATTGGACACACAAGGAATTTGTCTTGGTGCAAATGCTCTCAGTGTACATAAAAGAAAAGATGCATTCATCAGGAATCGAGAATCATAAGGTGCAACACTTAATAATAGTCACAGGGTACAATATTTTCATGAATGATCAGTTTATTTATCAATAAAAGGTATTTGTTTATTGATGGTTCGAAGTTACAACAGCAAAGAAAAAAGTGACTGACAATTGTTTTTCACCCTTATGAAAAAAGTGTCTTTAGAATAGAATAGAATAGAATAGAATAGAATAGAATAGAATAGAATAGAATTCTTTATTGGCCAAGTGTGATTGAACAAACAAGGAATTTGTCTTGGTGAAAATGCTCTCAGTGTACATAAAAGAAAAGATACATTCATCAAGAATCATCAGGTCCAACACTTAATAATAGTCATAGGGTAGTAGTAACCAGTTGAATGGCTTTCCTTCAGAAATTGTGGGTGCTCCATCACTGGAAGCTTTTAAAGAAGAGATTGGACACTCATTTGTCTGAAATGGCATAGAGTCTCCAGCTTGAACAGGGAGTCAGACTAGAAGACCTTTAAGGCCCCTTCCAACCCTATTCTGTGATTCCTTGACCGGCTGCTGTTTCCCTTCGTTGGGCAAAACAGCTACACAGAAACATTCACATACATTTCAAGCGTCTACCTACTTAGCCAACTTAAAGTGATAAAGTTTTGCTCAGCAAGTTCAACCTTTTGATGATTTCATGGACACGTCCATGTGAGTTATCTTGGCCACAGGATGGAAGTAGCTTGCATCACATCCTGCCAAGATATATATTTTTTGGCTTTCTAGTTTAACAGATTGAGAATTCTCGGTGTCTCCGTTCCAAGTATTAACTGGAACCAACTGCCTTTCGTCTTTTCAAGATCAGTGAAAGTTGGCTAGTTCTCGCCATTTAACATTAGGGCAGTTTTAACCATCTCTGAACTGGATTGTGATATTTTGACAACGGATGGTTGAAAAAGAATCCACTGAATAGAAAAATAGGAGCTTTTTTTTAATTGTCAGCAAGCAGAAAGATTGAATTGTGAACACTGAATTGTTCCCTTGCTAACTGAGACATCCTTAGCAATTGAAGTTCCACCCTTTTGTTCTCTGGAACAGATATTGTGATTTAGGCACACTTTTCGTTGTGTGGAAAATTCCTTGGTTGGCGTACAGTTTTCAACTTGCAAGATTACCTCTTGATAGCAAGAAGTAATATGATTCTGTGGCTCTTTGCTTGCAGTCCTAAGATTATGCATGAGAATTATGTTTATTTGCTGCAATGTATTAGAATAGAATAGAATAGAATAGAATAGAATAGAACAGAACAGAACAGAACAGAACAGAACAGAACAGAATAGAATAGAATAGAATAGAATAGAATAGATGGAGTGGAGAGTGGAATGGAATGGAATAGATGGAATGGAATAGAACAGAACAGAACAATATATGGAATGGAATGGAATAGTTGGAAGGGCTCTTGGAGGTCTTCTAGTCCAACCCCCTACTTAGGCAAGAAACCCTACACTACTTCAGATAAATGGTTAACCAACATCTTTTAAAAAACTTCCAGTGTTGGAGCATTCACAACTTCTGGAGGCAAGTTGTTCCACTGATTAATTGTTCTGTCAGGAAATTTCTCCTTAATTCTAGGTTGCTTCTCTCCTTCTTTCCATCCATGGCTTCTTATCCTTTGGAGAATAACTGGACTCCCTCTTCTTTGTGGCACCCCTTGAGATATAAGTCAATACACTTTAATATTTTCATTTTAGTTTACCTATTTTTATGAGGGGTGCTTGGTGTTCTCTGAGCTTGGTTGTTTTCTTGCAGACGTTTCATTACCATACTAGGTAGCAGTACCAGTGCTTGCAAGAAAACAGAGAGCACCAAAGACCCCTCATTTCAGCCCCAAGCTGCAAATATTCTCCTTTATTGGTACATATTTTTTTACAGATGGTGGCACAACTCAAAGAGCATCTCCTACGACCCCTGCAGTGCGTTGGCAAAAAAAAGATTGATCAGATAGCTGTGGATTATGTTTCAAAATTGGTAGGTTTCTTTAAAAAAATAAAATAATTTGTTTTGGGGAAATTTTTTTTATCAAATTTGAGCAACTCTTTGGGAAGGGAGGTGTAGAGGAACCAAAGAGGGTGTAGCCAAGTCTCATCAGAAGCTGGGGCTCTGTTATATTGTCTTTCTCTTGAACAGTAATGTGCCTATATTTGGCTTATATTATAGTTTTCATTCATTTCCGTTCCTCAAAATGATAGGAAAATAGGCTGCCTGTTTGCTGCAAAAAAAAAAAAAAGAGAGAGAGAGAGAGGCTGTGGTTGCAAATTACTTACCTCTGTTTAGCTCTCAAGAAGTTTTTGTGTGTTTGGATTTTCACAGGAACTAAACCGAGTCGAAAGACAACTATTAATGATTTCCAGAGCAAACGCATTTGATGTTTCATTTCCTAAAAAGTCATCTGGTGTTTTTCTGCAAAGTCATCTAGCTTTTGTTCTGGAAAGCCAATTAGATGTTCTCTGGAAAGCCATCTAGCAGTTTTCCAGAAAGCCATCTAGGGTTTTTCGGAAAGCCACCTAGCTTTTCCCTCAGAAAACCATCTAACATTTTTCTGGAAAACCACCTGGCATTTCTCAACAAATCCATCTAGCATTTTTCCAGAATGCCATCTAGTTTTTTCTTTTCTTTTTTGGGAAAGCCATGTAGTATTTTTCCAGAAGGTCAACTAGATTATTTTTTTTTCCTGGAATATCATCTAGTATAGCCTACTTTATTGAATAGTGTCGTGCCCAACTATGGATTGGGGTGCCTAACTATTTTCTAACCATGGTTAAGGTCATGATGGGACAATTTTGAGTGGCTGGAGGAATCAAGAGACCAGTGAATAGAAGGAAGACAAAAAAGGGGACAGACTGCAATAAATGTGTATGTGTTTGTGTGTGTGTGTATGTGTTTATGTTTGTGTGTGGGTGTGGGTGTTGACCTGTTTTTTCTTCAGATTTTGGAATAGGGCATTGTTTTTTTCTTTAAAAATATGGGAGGTTTAGACTTAAAACAACTTTATTGTCACTTTAAATATATACTAATCGGCATACATCAAAATTAAATTTCATTGCATACAGCTCTCAAAGGGTTACCATCTCCAATATACACTACATAAAGTAAAGGTTCCCCTCACACATTCGTGCTAGTCGTTTCCGGCTCTAGGGGGCGGTACTCATCTCTGTTACAAAGCTGAAGAGCCAGCGCTGTCTGAAGACGTCTCCGTGGTCATGTGGCTGGCATGACTAAACACCAAAGGCGCACGGAACGCTGTTCCCTTCCCACCAAAGGGGTCCCTATTTTTCTACTTGCATTTCTTTACATGATTTCAAGCTGCTAGGTTGGCAGAAGCTGGGACAAGTAACAGGAGCTCACTCCATTATGGGGCGCTAGTGATTCGAACCGCCGAACCGCCGACCTTTCTGATCGACAAGCTCAGCACCTTAGCTATTGAGCATAAACGTGACTAAATAAATGAATAAATACGAAGTTATTTTAGGTTTGTGAGACAGGAGAGCCATGTTTCCCATTTCAAACTAGCAGGAAATAAAGTTTAAGCAGCCATGAATCAATTTGAAGGTTAGAAACTGCTCATACCACCTTCCATTTTGGTACCTGGTTCTAAATGCTGCTGGTTCGGTTCGTAGTTTAAAAACAGGACTGATTCAAGTAGGATTCATTTTCCAGGAACTATGTCTAGGATTCCAACTTCGACAACCTTTGCTAAATAATACCACTAGGTTGGCAGGCATTTTGTTGGTGTGGATTGAATATTCTTTTGAGAATCGGAGTCAGTGAAGCTGAGAGTCTTCCAATAAAGATCAAATACATTATTTTTTTCTCTCTCTTTGCAGCTGGACCTAATCTGTAGGATGATGGAGACTGTTAGGAGGAAATACAGTCTTAGCTCCTTGTCCTTCTCATGGTAAGCAGTTAATTTTCATTAAGATATTTAAGGATAAAAATGAGAGACAGAAATGGGAACGAATTAACAACGGCAAATTCATTACATCACACATTAATAGACTTCTGGATGAAGGAACTATAATCAGGACTTTAAAAGTTTATTGTTATTACACATCAGATATTAGCAACCCATATCACCTGTCATGCCCCTGTCAGAATCTAAATCCGAGGAGGAAGCCGAACAGCTGACAGGGAATGGGAGTTCGGCCTAGTGGTTAAGGCACCAGACTGGAAAGCAGGAGACCGTGAGTTCAAGAGTTCAAGTCCCTCTTTAGCCATGAAAGTCAGCTGAGTGACTTTGCGTCAGTCTCTCTCTCTCTCTCTCTCTCTCTCTCTCTCTCTCTCTCTCTGCCCAAGTTCCTCCTGACAGGGTCGTTGTTGTTGTGGGGAAATTAGGAGGAAGAAGGTGTGCTGGATGTGTTATTTGTAAAAAATAATAAAGGCGAGATCAACAAAATTAAACAAATAGAAATAGATAAATAGAGCTCTCCAAGGCTACTTATAGCTTCAAGATTCCCATGGTCATCTCTGCGGTAAGAAATGTTTTGCATTTTGGATGCTTGGCAACTGTGTTTTACGTAGTCACCACTGTTGAGATCCTAGAAAGAGTGCAGGAAGAGCAACTAAGATGATTGAGGGCCTGGAGACTAAAACATATAAAGAATTCTTTGTAGGGATTGAGTATGTCTAGTCTAGTGGGAAGTGGTGTCTCAGTGACTAAGATGCTGAGCTTGTCGATCAGAAAGGTTGGCAGTTTGACAGTTCGAATCCCTAGCGCCATGTGATGGAGTGAGCTCCTGTCACTTGTCCCAGCTTCTGCCAACGTAGCAGCTTGAAAGCACATAAAAAATACAAGTAGCAAAATAGGGACCACTTTGGTGGGGAGGTAACAGCGTTCCATGCGCCTTCGGCATTTTGTCATGCCAGCCACATGACCACGGAGACGTCTTCGGACAGCGCTGGCTCTTCAGCTTTGTAACAGAGATGAACACACACACACACACCCCAGGTGCCAGAAATGACTAGCACGTATGTGTGAGGGGAATTTTAGTGAAAAGAAGGACTAGGGGTGACATGACGGCAGTGTTCCAATATTTGAGGAGCTGCCACAAAGAAGAGGGAGTCAAGCTATTTTCCAAAGCACCTGAAGGCAGGACAAGAGCAATGGATGGAAACTAATCAAGGAGAGAAGCATGGAGAAATTTCCTGACAGTGAGAAGAATTAATCAGTGGAATTCCTTTTTCTCCAGAAGTTGTGAATGCTCTAACACTGGAGGTTTGAACATCTGGCTGACTGTGTGACTCACCATATTTCCTGCTCTGCACTCATTTCCCTCCCTCCCTCCATAAAACAACTTCAAGGGGAGCGTGATTTAGGAAGTAGGATGACTCATTGTAAGGGACTGGCTGACTATGTACCGCTGCTGTGCAACATTTGCACAGTTCACGTTCTTGTATTTTATTTTTTATTTTTGGTACAGCAGGCAACCAGAGAAAGCAAATGAGGTCATCGTGTTCCATATCATGTGCCGGATTTTGCAGGCAGCCAGCGGGATGTGTCTGCCTTTGCCTCCAGGTAAGTCCTCCAGCTGCAGCGTCACCAGCCTAGAATAGCCACACATAACCATATGCCACTCCAAAGTTATGTATATATTTTTTTTATTACAGCTTCTTGCTGCTCTCTGAGCTT